GGGATGTGTGTTGGGGGGGGGGGGATTGGTGATATGGCTGAACCGCTTTACTATACGTTTTTTTTTTTTATTGTTGTTTAAACACAAAGCTACACTCTTTTAGAATAACAATAACCAAGAAAAATACCATTATCTTGCACAAGCACACAACCTCTTTCCCACTATATGTTAGTGACACAGTTAGTTTTTTTTTAAATATAACACATTGTTAAAAAACATAGGGGTGTTGTGGACCTCAGGTTATGGTTTGGAACCTTCGTGGTCCTTTATTGGGAATCAGAGATGAAAACAAGTTATCTGGATAAGTTATCAAACATTGAGGTAGATTTTGAAGACATTTAGGTAGTTATCTGTTTCGAGCTTTTCGGTCAACCTTTATTCAAGTAAATACAATAGTATTTGCTTATAAAGCATTCGTATGATGTCATTTTGAGGACATTTTGAACAAATTATTGAAAGGTATGAATATTGCATCGAAGTAGGTTGTGACACTTTGTGAGGTAGAAACATGGACCCTGTCTGCCGAAACAAAACGTCAGATGGAAGCATTTGAATGTGGTATTATAGGAGAAGAAAACAGATGAGAAGGTAGTGAAATGTGCAAAAACAAAAAGACAACTGATGGACATTTGTAGGTAATGAAAGGTGTGTTACTTTGGTCATATACTTACATTCTGGTGGGTAAAATGGAAGGAAGAAGAGTTAGAGGCAGGTAGAGATTCATTTGGCTTGATGAAATTAGAAAATGGATTGGAGATTAAAAACTTGCACTAGGAATGTTGAGAACAATGGAGGACAGTATAACTGGTTGATTGAGATTGCAACATCTTGGACAAGTTATTAGAAGACACCAGTTTTACATTAAAGTATATTTTGATGACATGGATAATTATCTAACATTAAGGTAGATCTTGATGATATCTTGACACTTGGACATACTATCTGACATTGAGGTAGATCTTGATGATACCTTGACACTTGGACATACTATCTGACATTGAGGTAGATCTTGATGATACCTTGACACTTGGACATACTATCTGACATTGAGGTAGATCTTGATGATATCTTGACACTTGGACATACTATCTGACATTGAGGTAGATCTTAATGACATTTTGGACAAGTTATCTAACATTGAGGCACATCTTAATAACATATTGGACAAGTTATGAAACGTTAAAGTAGCTCTTGATGGTATCTTAGACAAGTTATCTGACATCTTAAACAAGTTATAAAACATTGAGGTAGATATTGATGACATCTTGCATGAGCTATTGAAAGACTTATGTTTTGTATAAATGTATAAGTCAAGATATCATTATTTCATGGTTGTCTAAACAACTTTATCTTCCATTCATATACAGGTGTAAGTCAGTGGTTTTACTCTTGTCTTTTTTCTTGAAATTACAAATCTAATATCAACAGATTTTTTGTACTTACAGTTTCAATGATATGGTTGTCTGTGTGCTTATTACCAAAACTAAAAATATCTACTTTCACTGGCTTGTTTTTATTTCTTATATTACTCTATTATACAAGCATTTTGTAAGTGAAATATCTACTTTCACTGGCTTGTTTTTATTTCTTATATTACTCTATTATACAAGCATTTTGTAAGTGAATTTATCCTAAATTAGAATTTGCTAAAACCTTCCCCTGCTGGATTTTGCCTGTCTTATGAATAAAATGTCCTGGGAACCATCAATTAACACCCACCATCAGGTCCCCAGTCATTCTGAAAAGTTTCCACTAATTCCAGCACAGCTAATATCATACAAATGTATACATATAATTTGAGGACAACAAAAGATATGTTGGTCTAAGCCATCCATTTGCTAAACTAAACTTAAAAATATAACCCTCATATCCAGCTCTTATCATTCAAATGTTTATCAAGCTTTCCCATAAATTCCCTTAAATTAACTGCATTCTCCACATCTTAAGACAACCCATTCCAAAGGCCAACAACCCTGTTAGAGACATAAAACTGTCTTAGCTGAAGATGACTCTTTCTCTGCCAAAATTTATATTTTTATCCCATAGTCTTACTGTTCCCATAATTTAATATAATGATGCATCAGCATTATTGATTCCCTTAACAGTCTTAAACACCTTGATTAAATCCTCTCTAACTCTTAATTTTTCAAGAGAAAACAATTTCAGAGATCTTAACCTGTCCTCATATAACAACCTTTCCAGGAATCATTTTAGTAGCCCTCCTCTGAACTGTTTCCAACAATTCAATGTCCTTCCTAAGGTAAAGCAACCAAGACTGAACACAATACTCCAAATGTGGTCTTACCAATGACTTATACAATGAAATTATAGCCTTTTGGAACTTGTATCCAATATATTTATAGATACAACCTAAAATCCTATTTGCCTTGCCACTAGCAACAGCACACTGCTTGGGTGGCTCAAGAAACTGAACAACTAGAACACTAAGATCTTCTTTTTCCATAACACTGTTAATGCTATTCCCATCACAATTATACTCATTATTCAAGCTGTAATATCCCATATGAATTATCTTGTGTTTATTATAATTAAAAACCATTTGTCATTTATTTGTTCAACTTACCAAATCCTTTTGTAAAGCAGCAGCATCCTCCTCACAGCCAGCAACACCCAAAACCTCGATATCATCAATAATTGAAATAATTTATTTACCATTTGTTCATTAATATCCTTGATGTAAATTAAAAAGAGCAATGGTGCCAAAACTGAGCCCTGAGGTATCCCGTTTGTGACAGTAATCCATGTAAAACAAAACTCTGCTTTCTTCCATCCAGCAATTTTTCTTTCTTCAATAAAATCTCAAAAGATTTAGTAAGGCAGAATCTTCCCCTAGTAACACCATGCTGACTATCTAATAAAATATTAAACTTTGCAAAACATCTTTTATCAGATTTTTAAAAACTTTTCTCAGTTCTGATATAAGACTAATAGACCTATAATTACTGGACAATTTTTATCACTTCTCTTAAAAAATGGAGTACATTAGCCAACTTCCAATCCTCTGGTATCTTTTCACTGTTCAAGAACTTAGAATAATGTAGTAGCAAATGGCTCACATATCCAATCCTTAATCTCATTCAAAATCTTTGGAGAAATATTATCTGGCTCATGAGCTTCACTGTTCTTTAAACTTCCCAATTTTTTTAAGAAGCTTAGAATTAATGTTATCATCTTGTTTCCATCTAGAAATATTTCAGGATGAGGAGTAATGCTTAAAATAGAATTTAATAACTCAGCCATCTCATAATCATTAGATATAAACCTTCCTGTATCACCCCCCAAAGCCCTATCCCCATCTTAACATCTTGCTTACCCTTAATGTATTTAAAGAAATCCTTACTATTATTTTACATTTTCAGCCAACCTGTTTGTGTTTTCCTTTTAGGTATCTTAATATCTCCTTAAGTTAACTCTCATGATCTTCTATAATTCACCCATCATGGCAGTTATTTTAACCTTCTTATGTTTATAATGTATTTCCATAATCTGACCCTTTTTAACGTTTGTGAGCCAACTTGTTTTTCTTTTACTTGCAGCCATCTTTTTTTTTCTGTAAGGAACATGCCTATCTTGAACACTTAAGTACCTCCACTTAATTCAGTTGCCCAATTCACAACAGATCATTCTGAGGGGATGAGACAAGAATTTGTTTTTTTTTTCAATTTGGAACCAAAATATCATTATTCCTTATCTCCATATACAGCAAAACATCAAATCTAATTGAGGAATGATCACTTGCACCCACATATTCCCCAATCTCCACCCTATCAATCATTTCTATATTAGAAGTTAACAATAAATCTAAAATAGCATTGTTCCTAGTAGGTTCTCTTACCAATTGGTGAAGAAAGCCATTCTGAACAGTTTTCAAAAACCTGTCTCCCTCCCTTATGGTTTGACTTTAACATTTCCCAATGTATATGCATGAAATTAAAATCTCTCACACTAATGACCTTATTAATACCTACAATCTTTATCTCACTTTATAATTTCGCATTAATTTCATTTGGTGATCTGTAACAAAACGATATTTCCAGAATGACGCCATAACCTCACGTGAACTTGTTGTTTTCTCCTAAGGGCTGCCATATTGAATGGCAGCATACATGTATTCAAGGTAGTAAAAAGAAAGCTTGAAATTGTATTTCCACTGCTGCATTTTTTTGGCTGTACTAATAGACACACACACAAAGAAGAACATCTATAAGGGTTGCTGTAGTTATGAGACAAAACTAACAACCTTCACAGTATTCCCGTATCTTCATTGCACATTTTGTGAAAGGTATCATAATAAATATGTTAAGTAAAATGTGTTTAAATCTACACTTTGTCATTAAAGATTTGTAGAAGTATCATACTATTTATTAGTTATAGAAACTAATAATATTTGACAAGGGGTCGACATTACTTCTAATGGAACTAATGAGTAAAGTATGTAGTTACGGTAATATAGGTGTTATCAGATTATATCAGGGTCAGTCAGACGCCTCTGTGTCGTAGACCGAGTGACACGCAGGTAACATCACAATGAATAAATACTACTAATACTTGATACTGGCGACAACAAGTTTTATGCTCGTTAAAGCGACAACGGGGGATAAAAAACATATAAGCTACAATAAACAAAACTCAACAGTTACAAATATGCAAGCCATGATCTCTTTTACTGGCACATGTTGTCACACATCCTGTTAAGAAGAAGTTGTAATCATCCAAGTTTTTATAGCATTTCATAAGTTCATTGTTTAATCTACTGATGGATTTAATAAGATACACAAAATATCACTATATCTGGGAGCTGACAAGATACACATAAATATCACGATATCTAGGAATTGATCGTTTTGATTTTGTCACGGGAATGAATAGTCACACAGGCCATTATTAGAATTATCATGTAAAGTTATGTCAACTTGCTTTCATAAGCCGTTGTAACTTGATTTAAGATTCAGAGCAAATCACTTGGCTTTATCGCTACCATAGTTTGCGATTATGACAGGAAGAGTGTAATTTATTGGTAACTGTAAAACAAGTAATGCACTAAGTAACAATGGATAACTATTAGTAAAGTCAATATTTTTAGTAGAAGCTTGGCAATAGTACCTTTTATTCTGTTTGTGCTTATGTGTATTTTTCAGTGAAGTGTTAAAACATCCGCGTTTTCTAATCTGTTTCGGAAAATTGAAGACAATTTTAACTGTCAGATTGTTTTCAGGAGTTATACGATTTAACTTACCATAAATATTGAGGCTGAATATGGGCTCATTTACAGTATAAACAGTTCTGTTTACTTGTTTCAGAATTTCGGGCAAAGCTACTCGAGAATTATCTGAGTTAAGTGTCACTACGACACTAGTTAAGTGTACGACTTTAGTTGTTGCGAATTGGTAAATTTTCGTATTACTCACGTGAGTTTGTCGATTGGTCAATAGGTCCTGTTGATTTGGTACGTGCATTGTAAATCATCCAAGTCATCTGTTAGCACCTCAACTTCCAAATTTTTTTTTTATATATATATACAGAGATTCATTGGCGAAAGGAAGTGCTCTTCACGGGGAGTTAAAAAAGGCCACAGCTAAACTAGCCAAGTTAGCAGACAGAAGACTGAAGAAGCTGGAACAATGTCTCCAGTTGAAAACCTTCCAAGAAGAAGCTCATCAGGTTTGTTTATTGTGTTCCCCTGAAGAATATAGACTTGTGTTTTACTCGAGGTATAGTGCTAATTTAATGTTAACCCATGTAGTGTGAAATGTATGTTCTTCCATTTACGTTACTAAACTATTGTGAGATCATTGAATATACAATTACGTTGATCGCGGTATAGTACTGAAATAATATGATATATAAAGGAGGTATAACTGTAACATAGAAAGCGTGGGTGTCTGTAACTAAAATGTATAGAACATTCTTCCGAGTTACGTGGAAGCTATCTGTTTATGTTGCCACGAAGTTTTTAAAGGCTATGTGTGAACAAAGGTTGCTATTTTCCAATATGTATAACGTCTCAGTAAATATTAAAGTGAAATTATCTGTATTAAATATTTCTTTAATGCACAAACGATACTGTTCATGGTGTAAAGCAAATGATGTGTTGGACCTATATCTTGGGCTGTTCAAAACGTTTCTTTTTGGAACAAACAATCACATTTTTAAAGTGAAGTCATCAATATTCCTGCATGTCAAGAGAAAACGTTAAGAAGTTTCTATTTTGTTCGAAGTTGAATCCCAGAATGGGACGCTTCATTCCCTTCCAGTAAAGACCTTATGGCATTAATAATGTTAATAAACGTACAATCAGTATTTATTAATTTCTTGTTCAATGCAATGAATAACATAAAGCTTTGGCCCGACATGTCCAGGTGGTTAGGGCGCTCGGCTCGCAATCTGAGGGTCGCGGGTTCGAATCCCCATCCGACTAAACATGCTCGGCCATGGGGGCGTTATAATGTAACGGTCAATCCCACTATTCGTTGGTAGAAGAGTAGCCCAAGAGTTGGGGGGGGGGGTTGGTGATGACTAGCAGCCTTCTCTCTAGTCTTAAACTGCTAAATTAAGGACGGCTAACGCATATATCCCTCGTGTAGTTTTGCGCGAAATTAAAAAACAAACAAACAAAGCTTTAGAGTACAATTGAATCTTCAGGCACGTCCGCATTTTGATTAATAATACAGAAATATATGTAGTTAATCGTCTCTCGTTGTTAATATGTCAAATAGAACTTGTGTTAACAGCTTCACCCACATTCCAAGGCGACTGGACAAATAATTTCAGATATTCTTCTTTTAGCATTAAATAATTTATCGTTAGCCTGAGTACTCTGTGGTCGTCTTTGTATGTATCTAATCTATATATAATCCTTAGCCCGAGTACTCTGTGGTCGTCTTTGTATGTATCTATCTATATATAATCCTTAGCCCGAGTACTCTGTGGTCGTCTTTGTATGTATCTATCTATATATAATCCTTAGCCCGAGTACTCTGTGGTCGTCTTTGTATGTATCTATCTATATATAATCCTTAGCCCGAGTACTCTGTTGTCGTCTTTGTATGTATCTAATCTATATATAATCCTTAGCCCGAGTACTCTGTGGTCGTCTTTGTATGTATCTAATCTATATATAATCCTTAGCCCGAGTACTCTGTGGTCGTCTTTGTATGTATCTATCTATATATAAGCCAGTGTGTGTCCCGTCGCACTTAATTTCTCGAAATAGGAGGAGTTAGAGAGAATAGATATATCTGCCCATTATGATTTTAGTGACGGGGGTGAAAGGGGGTCATGAAACCTTATAAGTGTAATGAGTGTTGGTTTAATATGCCTAAAGTAAAGAAGTAGTGTGGAATTACTTAGCCTAGAGCAAAGTGCATAAAATTTATCATGAAAATAAAAATATCGATTCAATTTTGAACTTAAATCATTTCTGAATAAAGCTATTTTCTGTTATATCACCTGTTTCTGTTTTTAATATAAAAACAAACCTCTTTAATGAACGGAGACTCTAAATTAAGAAATCAACGAATATTTTTCCAGTTTTGTTATTTATACATTTCATTTTATACTTTCAGTACATAGACTAATAACAATATTAGGTTATACTTTTGTTGCTAAACAACATGACGTAAAAGCCATTGTTGGATGGTGTTACCAAAACGCACTCGGTTTTCTATATATTAGAAGTTGTTAATCTAACTGTTTAATTATTTTATGAATACGCCACGAATTCATTTCATGATTGATCATAATTTTGATTGGATCACAACGGAACTTACCGACATTTGACTATATCGACTGCACTTTTCTGCCTCTTTATTGGTCAAGTTTGATTTCGCAAAATGTATTTCTTTCAGTTAGCTATGAAACGTGAGGTTATGGTATACTTTGAGGTGGGGGGTGGAACTGTCATTTTTGACGGGCCAAACGCTAGTGTTTATAATAATCCTGTGTATGCATTATTTTCTTCTATTTTACAATTTTAGGAAATATATAATGAACCATGTACACTGGGGTCTAAGGCATCAGGATTTAGTCTTAAGGTTTTTAAATTCTTCCAAAATTGTAACTTCCACTGACATGTAACTTGAACCTAAAGCAGTTATCTCCAATCAGATGAGACCTAGGAGATAGGTTTAATGGCAGCTTGAAACAGCACCTGACCACCGCGAAGCTGTGCAAAGAAAGCCTGAAGTAATTTCGGCTCTTTTTGATGATCAAAAAGAGTAAATAGACGATTTTTTAACCGTAAAAAAAACCTATATCTTTTTTAGTTAATAGTAATTAACCCCTCTTTTGCCCGCCCCATAGTAACTCTTTATCCCCCCCCCCCCACCACACACACACACATTTACACGCAAATAAAAAATCCTAGAAGTTTTAAGAACTTATGCATGAAAGCAAAACGAATATGTTATAATATGTCAGCCACGCTAAATACTAGGGCTCATCAGGCCGGATAGGATACGATAGACATAGTCTATGCTATATTTATGTTATCGACTTTCATGAACAACAACCATTATGGTATGAAGTAGATCGAGTAAGTAAACTATAATTATTATCAATTTTATTTAACTCACTTACAAGTTAAATATTAGGGTAAGTTTTAGGAACACAATATTATTTATATATTCACCACTGCTTGTAGATCGAGAAAAGTACTTGTATAAATAAATAATTTTGTTCAGAATTCATTACTTATAAGAGCATTTTATACATTTTCTTTGTTTTATAATACCTGTTCATCCTCGTTAAACACCTGCATAACAGATTTTGGTTTTGTAACTGGATGATTAGGACTATCATTTGTTCTTGATGCTGGATATAGTGGAATCATTTTTTTTTTTTATCCTCAGTAAATCATACCACTTGCTAAAATAAGTTAACTTCAAGAAACAAAGACTTAGACTTAAAAAAAAACGGATGATGCTCGTGGTAACTACCTTCTTGGCGGTTTGTCTTTGTTCACTCATCTGTGTCAACAATGAAGGCTATTAAGCCTCATTTGATGCGCTTCGTTCTGAGAACGTGATGTTATCCTGAACCCCCGTTCTTCTCTATCTGTAACGAACACCTGGGAGTTTCGCCTCCAAGTAATATAGGCTAACGCTTGTTAAACGCAGTCGCGTTGGGAACGCTCTGCCTGCGCAGATGAACATAAAAGACGTTCTGATTAGTATCTTTAAGGGGTTATTGTCACTCTTTAGTAGCTGATATGAAATTTAGAGTTACTTGCAAGTGATCATTTATTTATATGAATATTTGAGGATGAGTATAATTTTAGTGAAGCCAACTCGCGCACCACGTATGCTGAACGAATCTAATTGGGTTGCTTGTAGGACCATAAATATTCATAAGGTGATGTTGTTGTTGCTTGTTATTAAGCACAAAGCTACACAAAGGCTCACCACGGGTATCGAAACCCGGTTTCTAGTGTTGTAAGTCCGAAGACATACCGCCGTGCCACTGGGTGCCATAGGGTGATAGATTTTAGGATAATACGATAACCACAATAGTGACGTTCGATTACGTACCATTTTTCACACTAACAAAATTCATTCCAATCATCATATTTGTATGATTTGAATGAGGCGTTTCTCGTGTTTATATATGGCATTTACTTGGATATAATATTAATTCAGCTCCGAATAGGGCGTTTCTCTCGTGTAATGACGTATGACATTTACTAGGATGTATGTATATTCGACATTAAACAAGGAGATTTGTGTCATGGCGTATCTATAGATATGGTATTTATTATTTACTCGGATGTAAAGTTACTCAACTTTGAATTTGTCGTTTAGTAATTACAGCATTTGTTTTTACCTCTTAGATATGTTAGGAGATTTGTGACCAACTATTTAGATTAAGAAACAGTGACAGAAGCGGAATGATATGTTTTTTACGTAACTTTGTGTGAACCACAACCTAATATCAAATGTTCAATGTCAAGATTCAGCTGTAAACACGTTTTCTCATAACTCATAAGTTATTGCACTCCCGGTGTGATTCGTGTATTGCACCATATTAAGCAATTTTATATTTTTGCGTGTTACAACATTTGATGTAAAAAATTGTTCAAAACATCACTTATTTTCGGTTTAAAATGCATATTACCCCCCAGGAACACGTAGTGAAATTAACTGCAGTAGTGTTGGATTTTTCTTTGTGAGCTTTGTTATTATGGACCCTGTAACCAAGAACTTTGTGGATCCACAGACAGCTTGGTGTAGAAATAGTTTAAAAAAACTGATGACTTCTCTTCCTATTTACTTTTACCTCCTCTTCCTATTGCTCACAATCACTTGACAATAAGTGATTCAAACAAGGTGTAGCTGCAGCGTTCTTTAGCGTTGAAGTTGTGTGGAAAGAATTGAATGGAAGTTATATATCCACGTATGGTAAAAATGATCAACATGATAATGAGAACTGTATGAAATTAACTACAGAGAGCTACAAAAGTCGTAAATTTGTATCAGTCTCTTCCTAATCACACAGGATTGTGAGAAAATTTGACAGTCGTACTGACTTACGACATTATAGTATTTTGTAATAATAAATATATATATATATATTCCTCTTCTATAGTGGGTCTATGCAGTAGTTTGATTCTTCGCTTGGTTCACGTAAGAACCTCGAGTTTTGTTGTTGTTGTTTGTTTGTTTGTT